GAACTGATTAAAGAAGCAATTTATTTTCTCCATCCATTTGAAAATTATTTTATGTGCATCTGCTTACATACCATAAAGGAAATTTAAAAAAAGCTAATTTCACCTGAAGCAGCTTTGTACTGAACATAAGAATGGCAAAAAACATTTTTTTTTTGTATATCACATTTTTCCCAAAGGAAGAAAAAACAAACAAATAAACAAACATCCAATTTAAGTCAGTTCAGTGAAAGGCCTTAAAGCAAACTGGACCAGCATCTCTGGTCCAGTTCCAAACTGGTTTCAAACACACATGGCTCAAGTCAGAGTTCTTTGTGTATATTGGTGGTTTTAAGTCTGACAAACCGGATGTTGTTTGTGTTTCTGTTCAGTGCCCTGAGATGACTTCTGCTGTGACTCGGCACTATATAAATAAACTGAATTGAACTGAATTAAATTGAATTGTACCTTAAGGTTAAATTATTTTCCAGTTTTATTTCACCTGTCTGTCTTGCCACTTGTTTTCAGAAACATAATGGGAGTTATCTGAACTGTGTGCAGTAGTCCCTCGCAGTTATTTTTCACGGACTCACTCTATCGCGGTTTTTCAAAATAAAATTGGACAATGATACACAATTGGCTGATTGATGGACGATCCCCATGATCGGCATGGAATTTTTGTTTAAAATAAATAATTTTAAATTATTTAGCACCTGCTGCATCTGTGTGCAGCCCACAGCTTGCTGGAGAAGCTTCCTCCTGCAGCGTGTCATATCTCCGCTCTGCAGTGGAAAAGTGGGCGTGGCCAAGAGCACTGGCAGATGGCAGAGAGCTGTAGGTGGTAGAGAGCTGAGATCATGACATGCTGTGCTCTTTTAGAGCGTTTAGAGTTTAGAAAATGGTTAGGGACACTGCAAGGGTGTGGGAAGGGTTAAAAATGCCTTTATGTATACCTGTGTATAAATACTAAAATAAACTTCTACTTACTACTACTACTACTACTACTACGACTACGACTACTACTACTTACTACTACTTACTACTTACTACTACACATAATTTAGTTCCATCTCTTGTACCACATGAGATGGTAATGACAATAAAGTTTACTTGAACTTTAACTACTGTATACCTACTTTGCGGTTTTTCACTTATCACGGGAGGGGGGGGGGGGCATGGTCCCAACTCACCACGATAAATGCAGGACTACTGTACATCATTTAAGGCTGCAGCTTTGCCTGTCTTCTGATAATTTAGATCAGGGGTGCCCAAACTTTTTCCCTGGGCTGCGGGCCAAATGCAGTAATACATGTGTAGCGTCCAACCAACATCCCTCAAAAGGACACGCATCCTGAGCTCCCGGCTCTGTCAAAGGAAAACGTTATTCAGTGGCAGGAAGATGCTGAGGAAAGGTAGGAAGTCTGTCAAAATAAAACACAAGAATATAAATTACTAAAATTATTTAAAAAATACACAAATTAGCCCTACTGTGTCATCTGTGTAGTGCAATTACGGTAGTCAGGCTGACTAACATTAAATTAAGTGGGTTGAATCAATGAGTGTAAACACATTGATTCTTCAAAGGAAATTTTAATATAGTAATGAGGACAGCTTGGCGGACCAACTTTCCAACTTTGGCCCGCGGGCCCCACTTTGTGCACCCCTGATTTAGATCATCTAACTGCCCTTACACAATGTATGATGATATGGATGTCACACCTTACAACTAAACAAAGAAGAAACCGAAATGCTCATTTTCAGAGCGAGAACCAGAAACTTGCAGCTCACATGCAAACCAAACCTCTGTAATACTAATGATCTGAATTGTAGGTTAACTTCAACAATATTACTAAAATGCTATTTTTATCATTTGAAAAACATTTCAGAAATTTAAGCATTTCTATCAAAATCCATTTTCAAAAAAATGACAATGCATTTATAACATGCAGTCTGAACCATGGTAATGATCTTTTTACCGACATCTTTAAAGGTGTCATAATGCGACTACAGCTGATTCAAAATTCAGTGGCTGGTACTCTCACAGGCACCAGGAAGTGTGAACACATTACACATGTTCTTAAAGGTCAGCATTAGCTTCAAAATGTAAGCAGAATCAATTTCAAAATCCTATTACTTGTATATAAAGCATTAAATGGTCTTACATCACAGTATATGAATCATATTAACCAGCCATTCATCTGTCAGACCACCCAGGCAGGCTGATTATGATAACTTGGTTATACCTCATACATTTTCTGAATCAGGGGAAGCTGCCTTTTGTGTTTGTTGCTATGAAATAAAATGAACATCATCAGGTTCTGAAGGGCTCCACTCTTGATATCTTTTGAAAAAGAAAAAGTTCAAAATGTTCCATTTAAAAAAAGCATATGATAATGTTTTTGTTGATTGTGTTTTTTTGTATCTCACTTTTATGCTTGTGTGTGTGTGTGTGTGTGTGTGAGAATAAATGTTGGATAATTTAATTATATCAATCTTTATTTTGAGACAAACAGTACCAAATAAAATAAAATAAAACAAATAATCAAAAAAAGACAAAGACATCCATCACAAAGCAGACAAACAGTTATTCCAATATTTAAAAAAGCTTGAGGTACATCTAGTATTGCTATATGTTGCATTTGACAAAGCTCTTACTATTGAGTTGTTTGATGCATCCACGCGGCACATACATTTGTACATGAAGTTCCTCAGCAAGGCACGAAAAGTTGGAATGTTGCTGATGACAAACATTTGACTTGCAGATGTCTATCCTGGAAGAAGAATTATCCTATCATCAACTCATTAACCAAAAAAGCCACACAGAGAAATGCGAGATCTTTTCAACCCAGGTTTATTCCTTGCAAGGGGGTGCAGCAATTGAAAACAGGCATACAAGATGTAATACGAAACCCTGATCACAAGGTCTACCTGCGGCCAACGAGTTAGGAGCAGCTTAAATACCCTTTATCAACAGAGACGAGGTCAAGACGACCTCTGCTTCACTCACAGTTGTTGCAGGCGTCAGATGTTAAATGGACTGTACTTATACAGCGCCTTTCTATCTTATTTCGATACTGAAAGCGCTTTACACTACAATCTGTGTCCTCATTTACCCCTTCATACAGCACTCTATTAGATCTCTACAAAGCTAATGGAACAAATCATTCTAAAGAGACTAATCAGTGCTTTACATCACATTAATACACTGATGGGACACACATCAGAGGCTATGAGTGGTTCAGTGTCTTTCCCAGGGACATTTCAGTATGTGACTGCTGGTGAATTCAAACCCCCAACTCTCGCATTGGAGGATGACTGCTCTAACCACTCAGCCACAGCCAGTTATCAGGTTCTACTCTGAGTAGACAAAGAGACTCTTGACTTCACATACATGGTTCTATATTCATTTGACATTAGTAAGTGAAAACATCCTTGACCTTTACATAACTTCCCCATCAATAAGTTGGCCTGTTTTGAAAACTATTGCTCTCTTGTGTTTTAGGTTCTTGATGGAAAGCACATTGGGTTAGTGCATGAAATGCACTTGACAAGAATATATATAAAAATTCATACATTTTAAGAAGACATTTGTGATGACAGACCACTGTCTCATGTTATTTCTGAAGAAAAGGCGCACATTTAAACTTCAAGCTAAAATGTCTGAAGGAAGGCCTCCTCCTGAAGGAATGCTAATATCAGGTTGACTAGAGATGATTTGGAGAGTTTCAAAGCTCTCTTATTCAAACGGTTACCGGCTTCATGTCATTCGAGGCACTATCAGTGGGGGGGTTTCAGTGGGCGGCTGCTGCGCACATTAAGTGGTTTATAGTTAAAACGCTCAACTGCTTCTCACAAGCATCAAGTTGGTGCATTTCCTGAGCTACTGAATATTGATGCCACTTCAATGAAAAGCACACAACGGCTTCCAGTTTTGGAAGTCGATAAAAAGGAATTAAAACCTTTCATTGTATGACATTAATTCACCGGTTTAGACACTTTTGTTTGTACATAACAACATGTAGTAAATATATTCAGAACTGAATTATAGAGCATAAATTACTGAAATGATCCAGATCACCGATGAATAATCTAAAATGCAGCATTTCATAGAAATGCTGTGGAGCTGATGTAAATACAAAGTTTTGCAATATTAAAGTTTTATGTATCAGGACATATTAAAATATCTGATCATGATCACATCAAAGTAGTTCAATATAAGGCTCTGAATTGTCAAAAAATAATAAAAAGTTTAACCATGAAGAAGCAACAAACTAAACAGCAGAGATGCTAAACACCAAACTATGCTCGATTTAATTCTTTCTCAGTTTTGAACAATCATGGCATAAAAGTGGCTTCTTGAGCTTTATTTTTATGAAGTCCACTTATGAAGCCATTTACCGTCTTCTCTTTCTCCAGTGGATGACCTCTTCAAGGAAGCAAATGTCAAGCCCAATGGAATAATCAACTATGAAGAGTTCACCCGAATGGTTACGCTGCCACCAGTCGACTACTGAACACCATCTTCAAACTTCACTTCAACAACTGGTGGAAAACTGACCTCGATGAAAGTGATGGTTACAACTTGAAGAAATGAAGAGACGCTGTTAAATCAACTGAGAAGGGCTATTTGATACTGTAGAAATTGAAAATTACAAATGAAACGGAAGTGTCATGGATGTTACGGTTGGTGAATGCCACAGTGTACCAGGGAAACTTTGTATAGAGTCAGAATATTTACCAGTGTCATGAAAACATGCTCAACTGGGAACATATTTGTTTGAAAGTGTAAAGATTTTATTTACTACTTACTGCCTTGGAAAAAATAAAAAACTGTAAGTATTGTTGTTTCTCCTCTCAAAGACAAATCCAGATGACAAAACTGTAAGGAAAAGACTTGGATGTTCAACTAGATCTGTTAACTGTCAAAGTTTAGGATCCTTATTTAATTTTGAACCTAAATAACAACAGCAGTACTTTGAGCTATAAACAGATATAATCTTAATTTATGGTTTCCCCTGATTATCTCTTTATTGCCCACCGTCATAGAGTGAAATGGGGAAATTGGGAAAAACCCTCTGTCTGTCCATCTTTGCATGTTGTAGGCATGGTAACTTCAAAACTAAGTGAGATACCAACTTCCATTATAGTGCGTGGCTACATGTAGGCATAAGAAAGTTTCCTTTCCAAAAATGAGACACCATTTTATATATATGTGGAACAATAAGATCTCAAATATATGATAGAGCTAGGTTGTTGAGGGCTTTGTAGGTTAGAAGTAAGATTTTGCATTCTATTCTGGATTTGACAGGGAGCCAATGGAGAGAAGCTAAAACTGGAGAGATGATCTCTCCTACTAACTCCAGTTAAGACTCTGGCAGCAGCATTTTGGATCAACTGAAGACTTTTTAAAGAAGTATTTGGACACCCAGATAATAAACCATTGCAATAATCCAGTCTAGATGTGACAAATGCATGAAATGCATAAATGAGAATATTACACTAAAGTGATGAAGATGGACTGGAAAACAGAACATTATGTGAAATATTCAAACAGTCAGAAAGCTGCAAGCTTAAAATGAAATTAATATAAAGACTTAGATTCAACAACCTGCTTCTTTACTAGTTACATAATTGTAAAATAGCCCTTTGCCTATTTTCTGTAATGTTTACCGTCATAAAATGCTTGTATTTGTTGACACTGAATTATATTCAGTTCCTTCACTGAAGGTTTTTAATGACATCGTTGAAGCACTGGATGCTAAGGATTATTGTGTCGCACTTTTCTTAGACCTGTCTAAAACTTTTGACACTGGATCATAACATATTGTGTCATAAGCTCTCAGAAATTGGTTTCTCAGAACACACCATTGGTTGGTTCTCTAAATATCTTTCAGATTGTAGGCAATGTGTTCAACATAATGGTACTTCCTCCAGTTATTTAACAGTCAGCAATGGTGTACCACAAGACTCAGTCTTAGGACCCACCCTCTTTACAATCTACTTAGGTAATCTAGGTCAGAGCAACTCCGATGCATCCTTACATTTCTATGCTGATGACACAGTTGTTTACTGCTGAGCTAAAACAGTTGCTAAGGCTTTCCAGCTTTTGCAATCCGCCTTTGACATCATCCAGTCAGACTTGTTCCATCTCAAACTTGTCCTAAATGCCGATAAAACCAAAGGAATGCTTTTTTCAAACAGGAAGTCAGTCCCAGCAGTTCTTCCTCTGATTTTATCCTCAAATGGTGTCCTTATTGAGTTTGTCGATTCCTATAAATATTTGGGTATCTTGATCGACATACATCTCTTTTTTAAGCTCCTTGTGGAAAACCTAGTAATGAAACTGAAAGTTAAACTAGGTCTCTTTTTCAGAAACAGATCCTGTCCAACTCTGAATGCTAGGAAACACCTTGTAATTGTGACTTTCCTTCCCTCCATTGACTATGGTGACATTATTTACATGAACGCTTCTACAAGCACCCTGCAGATGTTGGATGCTGTCTATCATGGTGCATTATCTACAGGGGTAGTTCCCAAAATGTTTAAAACTGCTGCCATTGAACCATTATTGAAGAAACCCAACCTGGATTGTAATGATCTTAACAACTTCAGGTCAATCTCTAAATTACCCTTTATTGTGAAAATTTTAGAGAAAGTGGTGTACTCTCAGATCTTAACTTATTTAAACCAAAACTCACTTTTTGAAAAGTTTCAGTCTGGTTTTCATCAATATCACAGTACAGAAACTGCATTATTAAAGTTGTGAATGATATTAGGATGAACTCAGATGCTGGCTGTTGTACTGTCTTAGTGCTCCTAGATCTTTCTGCTGCTTTTGATACAGTTGATCATAATATTCTATTGAGTCGACTAAATTATTGGCTAGGTGTTAGAGACATTGCTCTGAGGTGGTTCAAATCTTATCTTCATGACAGGACTTATTCGGTAATTTCTGGCAATAATTCCTCCAGTTCAGTTTCTCTCACCTGTGGTGTCCCCCAAGGGTCTATTCTTGGGCCACTATTATTTTCTATTTATATGCTACCACTTGGTCAGGTTATTCATAAATTCAATGTTTCTTTTCATTTCTATGCAGACAATTCCCAGATTTATTTGGCTATTAACCCATCAGACCTCTCCACACTCAATAAACTTTGTCTCTGCCTTACAGACATCAAAACCTGGATGTCTGATAATTTTCTTTCACTCAACAACAATAAAACTGAGGAGATGGTTTTTGGCCCCAAGGCCAGAAGGAATTTATTAGTTCAGTCCCTTTCTGTTCTTGGTTTTAACTGCACTCGTGAAGCCAGAAATTTTGGGGTAACCTTTGATTCTGATCTTGGTTATTCTAAACATTTTAAGAACATCACTAAAACAGCATTTTTTTCAAATTAGGAATATTCAAAAATCAGAGCATTTATCTCTTTAACTGATGCAGGAACTCATTCATACCTTTGTCTCTTGTCATCTTGATTATTGTAACTCTTTATTTTCTGGTCTGTCCTAAAGTTCTCTTAATCGCCTTCAACTAGTACAAAACACTGCAGCTAGAGTTCTCACAAGAACCCATAAATATCAGCACATCACTCTAGTTCTGCCCTCATTGCATTGGCTCCCTGTGGTTTTGAGAATTGACTTTAAAATATTATTGTTTGTTTATAAATCCCTGAACGGTCTTGCGCCATCATATCTGTCTGAGCTTCTTACCCCCTACATCCCTTCTTGCAATCTCAGATCCTTAAATCTGTTATTACTTTCCACTCCCAGAGGTTGACTGGTGACAGAAGGAGGGAGGGCTTTTATAGTCAGGGCTCCTAATTTGTGAAATGCTCTTCCTTTAAATATTAGACAGGCCTCTTCATTGTCTTCTTTTAAATCATTAGTTAAAACTTACTTGTTTAATAAGGCTTTTAATATCTGAATTTCTTTCTTTTTGATGTTGTTATTTTAATTGATTTGGTATACTTTTGTGTTTCTGATGTCATTTATGATGTTTTAATTGATTAATGTGAAACACTTTGTGACATTTGTTTGAAAAGATGCTATACAAATAAAGTATTATTATTATTACTATTATTATTATTATTATTAAGCTTCATAACTGGCTGTAACTACCGTACCCACCATTGCACCCTGTATTCACTGGTTAACTGGACATCATTAACTTCACACAGACTCTCTCACTGGTACATTTTCATCTTTAAATCACTTCTTGGTCTGTTGCCTTCATACATCTCCTCCTACATGTCTCTGCGTGAGTGCAGCTACAGCGTGCGCTCTCAGAACATTATTACATGCAGTGTCTCCTCAGTGCAGACTGAACTAGGCAAAAGGACCTTCTCCTACTCTGCTCGTTTCCTGGAATATCTTACAAAAAGATCTGAAGCTCTTGACCTTGACCTCTCTAAGTGGCTTTAAACATCTGTTAAGTTCATGGCAAAAACCAATGCAGACATGTTCCTGTTTTTAGTTTTCTACACCGCCTTATAATCTAGCTGTTTTTTTCTTTTAGCTACTTTTCCTTTTGACTGTCCTTTTGGTTGCTATTTTGTTTTGATTTGTTAAAAAAAAAAAATAAATAATTTGTATGCCTCTTTTGTGACTGTTTGTTGTTTTCATTGTTATTCACTGTTGTCATCATTCTTTGTTAAGAAATCAGGTCTCTATTGTAAATGAGTCCCCAAGGCTCAATGGGATTAACCTGTATAAATAAAGGTTGAATGCATAATTATGACTAGGGATGCACAATACTATTGACAAGTTATTGGTATTGGCCGATATTAGCGATGAAGTTAAAAATCGGACATCAACCATTCCATCAAAATACCTCACTGATATTAAAGGTGCTGTTTATATGTAAAGCGCTGTTTTTGCATGACTGTTCGAGTGTTGTCATTATGTTGGAGTAAATGTCATGAATAAATTTGACATTAAACATAATCCGAGTTGAAGTGTTACATCATTTTCAGCCCCCTTTTTGGCATCTGCATTTGGTAGCAGACCAAACTGACCAAGACCATGTAGTATTTTAATTCCACAGCAGCGAAAGTTTATGTAAGTAGGTCTAGGAAAAAAATATTGGTATTGGTATCAGACAAATACGTTTGAACATATTGGCATATAGAATATCGGCCAAAAGTCCAATATCATGCATCCCTAATTATGACCATATGTGTAAGCACACTGCAGCTGTTTGATCCTAAATAATAAAGGCTTCATGGATCATAAATTCTATTTGTGACACATTCAAACCCCAGGGATCAAAAAACTCCAAAAGCTTACACATAATTTAAAACCACCCTCACACTTCCTGTGGATCTTCTGAAAACAAAACTATTCCATCCTCTAAATCCTTTTCCCATCAGTCTTAAAAAAAAGTAAAATCATGAAACAATAACAGGTGAGATGTCCAATTTTCTCGCTTTTATTGTAAAATGTCTTTGGCAAAATGTTCAAACTCTTTATGTGCCACATAAGGTACAGAGACTTCACTTTGCATTTAAAAAGAACACAACTACAAAACGTGTTGCCCCAGATGTGAAGTGGTTAACATCAAATACGAAAATAGAAAAAGAAAAGAAGAAACAACGGTACTCCTACCTCTGAGGGATTGTAAAAAAAAAAACCCACACATTTTACCTTCCATTGAAAAGTAAAAGTATCACTTATGAAAAAACAAAACAAAAAAGTCTGAAAAAAATAAAATCTGACAAGATTAAAAAAAAACTGTGCTTAAGGACTATAAAATGCTTAAGTCCTTAGTTCCTCCTAAACCTGTGATATTAAGCAATAAGACATTTTATTTATTTTGAGCAAATACTAGATGAACGTGACCGTTTACAATGAAGTGTTTATAATGATTAATAACATCAAAACGATTCAATACTTATGCAGATAAGGCACTGGGCCGGCCAGTACCTCACATCAGAACATTTAGAGCCTGTGTGGCCTCTAGCACCAAGTATTTCCCTGCATTTTTTTATCCTTTCACATTAACTCAGTGAGTTTTAAAATGTGTCTGTTAAAGCCAAAGGGTGACAGTAAACAAGTTTAACAATCAGTTATTTTTAAAGCCTTTTACAAGTTGCAGTAAATATTTTACAGGGTGGTTCTTTGGTTAAAGCCTCAAAATGTGACGGTAACAACTTATCCGTACAATCCATAGCTGGTCAGTCAATCTGTGGATATGAACCATGGAGGGAGATTCAGTAGGAGGAAAATACTGCACATAATAAGGTTTTGGGAATTGTCTGAAAAACAAAATGTGAAAAAAAAAAAGCTTAAAAAATAATAGCTTATGTGAATATAGTATTGTCTTCTTTCACAACGCAGTCACACAGACTCATGTTCGTGCTGCTGCTGTTCGGCGTGTTGTTTTTGTACTATTAAGTGTTTAGTGTATTCTTAGTTTACCATATTTCTTAGTTCATATCTCAGATCTTATTGTTGTTTTGCTTTTACAATTCATGCTTTTGTTGGATGTAACTGGGACTCCGAGTACACAAGTTTGTTCTACCACATGTACTACATGTGATGAGAATGACAATAAAGAAACCTTGAACCTTTCCAGGGTGTAAGACACATCACTGAAGTGAAATACCATGACTGACCTAAAGGGGGAGGCTGCAAAATATCTGTGGCTCTATTAAAAAACAAAAAAACAACAACAACAAAAAACGTCATTTTGTTGCCAGTAGCCAGATTTACTCATAACCAGGTAGTGCTTTTGAAAATACTGTTCGTACGTAGTGATCCATCACATATGCTTGTTTTTCATGTTAACATATTTTTCAAAATATGATTATGTCTGCAAAAACATAATGATAAAATCATAAACCTAAAACCAGCTGTCACTGCAGCTACATCCTTTGGTACAACTTTACAACTTATAGATGGCTAATACTTTATAGATACATTATTAATTCCTCTATAAACATTTTAAATCATCAATAACTATAAATAATTATTTAGTATATAATATTAGTTGTAGATACTTATAATGCAGTGATTAAAGGACAATGTTATGCTAAAAAATAGGTTTACAAATGCTTATTGTGCTTACAAGGTAGTAACTTAGTCTGAAATGTTTAATATAACAACTCTAGATGGAACACATTTGGATCACTATTTGGCAAGAAACTAGTCAGTTTAGTCTTCGTCACCCTTAATTAATGCATAATAAGCATTTATTAATGATTTATAAAGTGTTTATAGAGGAATTAATAACATGTATATAAACTATTTATTAGCCATCTATAAGGGGAGCCTTATTGTAAAGTGATACCTCAATTTTTTTATACTTCTACTCACTCTATGATCCATTTTGACTTAGGCTACAAGTTAGCACATCAAGCTAAAGGCCAAGAAAGTCAAGATAATTATCTTGTCCATTATCTTTACCTGCTTCTTTTCGGATGGTGGGGGTCACTATTGCCCATATCCAGCAGTCACTGTGCGAGAGGCGGAGGATACCCTGGACAGGTCTCCAGTCCATCACAGGGACACATAGAGACAAACAACCATTCACTCTCTCACTCACAGCTAGGGACAATTTAGAGTTACCAATCAGCCTAACATGCATGTTTTTAGTCTGTGGGAGAAAAAACCCACACATGAACAGAGAGAACATGCAAACTCCACCCAGAAAGACCCCTGGTTGGGATTCGATCCGGCAACCTTCTCGCTGAGAGGCAACAGCTGTACCAACTGCACCGCCTAGTTAGAAACACCAGGAGAAAAACAGCATTTTTTTCCAGATGTTTTTTAAAAACAAGAAATTAAAATTTGACTTCAAAAGATAAAATCCAATCTTAAAAATAGGCATTTTCGATCACAGGCTAAAAACACAGGCTTGCTGTTAAGACCTAGTTTCACAACAAAATGTTATTATACTGCATTAATTCAGCCCATCAACACATTAGGTCATAGTTCCTGAGATAAAACATTCAAATGAGTAGTTGGGCTTTTTTTTGTCATGACCTTCTGATTCTGAGGTGACCATAATAGCTGGCCCCTGATGGTGGAAAGGAACAGAACCTGCACTTTGACACCTTGACTTGGTCTAACAATTCACCTGCAGTCTAGCAGTCACTAATAATTCAGGGTTGGCTTTGGTCTACTTATATTTGAACTGAAATGACCAAATGTTTCAGAAGTTGTGACTGTTTAAACAGTTCATAAGTGTAGAAATAAAAAGTGTTATTTGATGATATTTCAACCTGACACACTTCATCGAAGGCTGTTGTAGCAGATCCTGGAAACAAAAGTCAAACAGAAACTTCATGTATTGGTGGGTAAAATATAGTCTTTTAAAATGCTCCTGTTTTTCATGAAACTGTTTTCAATGTGGGTAAATGCTGTTTTTTTTTTAATTAGTGATTTCCATCAATGAATAGCCACTGATGTACCCGCTATTTTATAAATTAGTAAGATTCATCAGTCATTCTTATCTTCCAGAATATACATTTCTTTCCTCCCTTTCCTCCATCCTCTCTTTCCTTTGGTTCGTCTCTTCTGCTGTGAGCTCAAGTTCAGATAAGTACTTCCGATCATCAAACTGGAAAACCATTTTTACAATCACTCGCTGAATAATTTGCTTTTGCACCAGGCAGCTGAGTGTAGTAAGAGCCAGCAGCTGTCTCCAGATGGAGAGTCTTTACTCAGGTTGTAACATCGACTGTCGACGAGGAAGAGGGCCGGCACTGGAGGAGGGGGCGTGCCAAAGACACCATCTTAGCACCAACATAACTGGTTTGTTCCACTTTGGAGTAAGCTGCTGGGGGAAGAATCAGTTTTGTGTTGTGTGTTTCCTTGACTGATGAAGCCTTCTGGATGGTGAAACATTTCAGCACAAAAAAAGACTGTCCAGATGACCAGACTGAAAATTGTTGGATTGTATACCTGGATTATTGAGCATGGACTTTGTTGGTTTTGAACCATTTTGACATGACTGTCGACGAGGAAGAGTGCTGGCACAGGAGGAGGGGGCGTGCCAAAGACACCAGCTTAGCACCAACAAAACTGGTTTGTTCCACTTTGGAGTAAGCTGTTGGGGGAAGACTCAGTTTTGTGTTGTGTGTTTCCTTGACTGATGAAGCCTTCTGGATGGAAGGTGAAAAGTTTCAGCACAAAAAAAGAAACTGTCCAGTTGACCTGACTGAAAATTGTTGGATCGTAGGTCTTCTTAGCTTATTCCTGTTTATTTTTAATTATGAGATGAAATGATTCATGCATGTGTTTTTAAAGCTGCAGGAAGTATTATAGATGCTTATGTATTTAGTGTGTGTTAACTATATGACAGTTCAGCACCATATTTGTTTAGTTTCTTAACACTTATACTCCACTAGATATAAAATACAGACATAGGCTGCAGCTGTGCAGTTGTCATTCAAATAGTGTAATTGAAAAAAAAAACTGAGTGGTTTATCTATGAGTATCAATGCACTGAAACTAGCTACATTGAAAGAATAATTTCTTATCTAAAACACTACGTTCTGCTAAACAGACATCGTCAAATTATATAGTATTAAAAGTGCAAACAAATATTTACATCTCAGTGTTTTCCTTCAGACCTGCACACTGACGTCACCTAAACAGGCAGAGTTTGGGAGTGCCTGCCTCACAATTATGCTGTAGTTCAGAAATGAATTGGATTGTTGATTCTCCTATAATTAACCTCCCTGTGCTGCAATCAGTGACTCTGCTGATGAGGCACAAGAGGGTTTCAGTGCTGCACTTTAGCGGTGAGGTGACGTGACGCCGGCGAGGGCTCTGCAGGTTTTGCAGCACTTTGCTTGTACAGTGGGAAGCTGGCAGCGGCCGAGCGAGCGCAGCGTCTGACACAAACGAACTGTCAGCCGGTCATGAACACAAACCGTTCCTGTGGAGGACACAGAGAAAGAGGATTTAAAATTTAAGGTCATTTACAAATGTCTGGTTTATTAACGGAAACAATTACAGGAACAAAGTGAGGGTTGAGAGACTCGAGGTAATTAAGTTGTTTATTCAGTTTCTCATAAATCCCCAACCAGGAAAATCGCTGTAAGGAAAATAATAATAAAAAGAAAAATCACTGTAATGCCATTTTAATTGGTGATATGTGACTTATATGTGCTGCTAATTATCCATGCTGCTGATCTCTTGCCTTTATGCTGCTGTATCCATACCCATCTACTCACCACAGACTCATGTTCAGGCTGCTGTTTAATATACTGTATTATTTTACATTATTAGTATTTAGCGTGCATCTTTGCATGTATCTTAGATCCTTATATACTATCTCTTTTAATACTTTATATTTTTGCTATTTTGGGGTGTAACTGGGACCTTGAGTACACAATTTTGTTCCACCTCATGTACCGCATGTGATGCGAATGACAATAAAGAACTTTGAACCTTGTTTATATAGCACCAAGTCACAACAGAAGTCACCTCAGGGTACTGAACAAAAAACATTCACATACAAAAAGCCATTTAGTAAAAATTATCTAAGGAAGCCAGCAGACAGTGTTGAATCTTCACTTCATTGCAGTCTCATACCCTGAGCAAGCATAAGGGCAACAGTGGAAAGGAAAAACTCCCTTTTAATAGGAAGAAACCTCCAGCAGAACCAGGCTCAGGATGAGCGGCCATCCGCTTCAATCGGCTGGGTTTGAGAGGACAGGAAGGAGAGACAAACGAACTTAGAATGACAGGTCCAGGTGTAAATGTAAGACACGCTCAAAGAGCTGAAAAGGTGAAAGTGACATGCCAACACAACAAACCTGAACAGTCAATTAAAGAGACACCGAGTTAAATATTGTCTAGTCATCACTAACACTCCAAGCACTGCCTCACTATCTGATCAGTAAGTTATCAAGAGGCTGTGCTCTGCTGTGCTTTACATTCATGCCACCATCCTCTTTCTACCGAACTCCACAAAAACCGACATGTAAGAATATTTAGAATGCTGAGTCATCTCTATATTTTCTTCAAACAGTCTCTGACATGTTGTCCAGGTGTACACCCAGAGTCACCGCTGCACAGAGATTAAATGATTTCAGCAGCTGACACAAGTTTGGGTTGTGCATGAAGTCTGAGGAGTGCTACAGACCACCTGCCCCACCTGCTCCAACACCTTCAGGCTTACCAACTGCTGCCTGTTTGTTGGGGCGAGCATTAATTTAAGGGGTTGTGGAAACATCCACCTGTGATTACTGCAGCTGCTCACAAAGTACTGCAGGCTAAGTTGTGTTAGAAGCGCTGAGGAAATCAAAGGATGAGGTCTTCAAAGGGATGCTTGCTTTGGTCAGACAGAAACACCCTGCTAAAGCAGGTAGATAATAAAAGGTTAAGTCTGTGACAATAAACAAACTGCAGTGGGTCACGGAGGTGTGTCCACCAAACAAAAACCAGCTGCAGTTTCGGCACGCACAAATTCGATACAGTCATGTGCAATTGGCTTTTTCTAAAAATAAGACCACTTGAAATGCTCAAATAACAATTTGAGGCAAAAAACAAAAGTAAATCAAGACCATTTGTTTTTCTCACCAGGATGAAACTGTCGGAGACTCATAACTGCAGCAACATGTGTGGCTTTGTGGCCACGTCTTGCACAGCAACTTAAATCACATCTTAAATTTGTACAAGTTTTGCAAAATTGTAACCTAGGACATGCACATTTTTTGCTGCCCACCTCTACCCCTGCTAGGGCCCGCAGTGTAGCCACCTTGGCAGCCGTCACCATATTTATCATTTAATCTACCGAAGTACACTTTTAAAATAAAGAAAGGTGAATTTAGGATAGGATAGAACTTTATTGATCCTGCAGGAAAATTTGAAACAGTTTTTCCTTTTACTTTTTGTTTGTTATTGTGGTTAGACCTGAACATTTAGAGCTGCAGTCTTGGATATCTTCAGACAAAAAGGGAGATCCCATGCAGGCGTATTATAACTCTAACACAATAGAAAGTGTGAAAATAAAATTGACAATGTTTTGAGATGCCCACAGCATTTCTGGGGCTAGTTTTTTTTTAACACTTTTTATTAATTTTTTGCTTTTTCAGACACAAAGAAAACAGAACAAAACAAAAGAACACAGAACAAAATCCCCTCCCACACCAGACCAGTCACACCTACACAAACAAACTTTACAGACATTGACAAGTTCTCAACAAATGATAGAAAAGGCTGCCTGGTGTCCCAGAATCTCCCTGCAGAATCCTTCAGGGTATATCTGATTTTTTTCCAGATAGGTATATTATCTCTCTTATCCAATGCATATAGACTGGGGGGTGTGGGTCCTTCCATTTGCATAGAATGAGCCTCCTGTCCAGAAGAGAGCCAAAGGCAATCACATCCTTCTCGTACTTGCTGAAGGACGTATCACAGGAACGACCCCAAAGAGTGAGATGAGTGGTGATGAGTGTACAGTTTTGCCACATTTCCAGAGAAGGTAAATAAAAATAGAAAATAGATTGCCAAAATGTGTACAGTTTGAGACAGGTCCAGAATGTATGCAGGAGTGTAGCTGGAGTTTGTTTACAACGATTACATGCGGGGTCCAGATTGGCTTTGATCTTAGACAGCTTGTCTTTGGACCAGTGCAGCCTGCACTACCTTGAATTGAATTACAACATGTCTCAGACAGATTGAGGATGAGGAAATGTTCTTAATGATCTTTTGACAGATTGAGTCTGATATGGATTCCTCCAAGTCCGCTTCCCATTTCAGTTTAAGGGAGTCCAAACTAGACTCATGGTATGAACTGAGCGATGTATAGATCTTGCTAAGGCCCCCCTTGGTATCAGAACTGCATTCCAAAATCTTAGTCAAAAAGTGTTTAGAGGAGTACAGAAGAAAACAGTCAGAGTTAGATCTCACAAAATGTCTCAGCTGCAGGTATCTAAAAAATGTGATTTGTCTGTACCAGCTGTTCAAAAGAAGCAAATCTACCATTAGCATAGAGATCACATGGTGAGAGTACATTCTGTGGCTAGCTTAAGAGAAAATCTGTGACAAAGGTCTTTTGATCATGTTCAAAATTCAAGCACTGCTAGCCTCTTCAACTCGTGGAAGGAAACTAAAAACCTTCTTGATAGTTACAAGACATTTTGGAGAGTCTCTCATGAACTGCGTTTATAAACGAGTCACCAACAGTGACAATCAAAGGAGACACGGTCTTAAATTCAACCCTGATGAAGGCAGCATGTCATTCAAGGAGGAGGGGAGAGAGACAACAGAAAGGGTTCTCTGTTCTATTTTATTTTGTACAGTGCAATTGTTTTATTGTAAAAAAAAAAAAGACAAATCAGTAGTAGTGAATACAAGAAATCATCATGTATTCAAACCTTTAATCTATGAATGGGCCTGAGTCTTTTAATAAAAAAGTGAAATTACCCTTTAAATTGCAGTGTACACAAAACCTATCCCTAATGTCCATTGTTCCTTTGAAACTCTTCTCCAGCCACCTTTTCACATCTTTACCTGACATAGACACAGACTGGTCCATGTCAGGCAACAACAACTCATGGAAACTTGTGAGCAAAAACTTCTAACAATCTGCTGCCAGAGAAAGTGAAAACTCAACCCAGAAAGTAGCAGACTGTTATTTCAATCATCACATTTCATCCGACACTCAGTGTTTCCGAGATAAAAACTGTTGTAATTAAATCATTTTGTTTTCAATAAAAAATACTAAAGGGGCAGTTTTGCCATCTGATTTGATGTTTTTCTCAGGCACCACTAAGAAATCATCTGAGGATAGAGCAAAAGTAAATAAATAAATAACCCACACTTTCCTGTTGGAACGCTGATGCAGGTGAATAATGTCACAATAATGCAGCCACAGATAATGTCTGTAACAGATGGTATTAGAGGTCAACAATTCACTTTCTGCAATTCATCATCTTGTAAAATACATGTGAATGAGACAGCTGTTTATTTCTAAGGGCAAAGAAATCCTTAACGTTTTAATCACTAAAACGAAGATGACTTTTTACTCCTCTCTGTCTCTGCAGTCGGCCTGTGAAGTGTTCCATCATCATTATCAACGTAAACTTTATAATGGTTTCATATGTAAATCAGGCGGTGCCAAAAAGCTGTGGGTGAACACAGACAGCAGGTGGTTGATGCTGAAAGCATCTGTTTCATTAGGGAGGCAAGAAAATAATCAAAAAAAGGAAATCATCTACTTTAATGACTGTGCACACATATTTTTTTTAATATCTGCTCTTTAAAAAAAACAAGACAAAAAAAAAAACAACTAAAAATTAAGCAGATAGAATGAAATCAAAGGGATTTCTGAATTGTCATAAATCACAAATTGTTTATACAACAGGCATTTTTATTTTTATTTCAGGTTTGCTCAAACAAAGGGACAATATTCCTGGCCTACGACATCTAACAGCACTTATACTCCATCCATAACTGCATGATGCGCTCTAAATGATGATATTTATTCCCTGCTCCTGAACACATAATGTGATTCATGAAAAACTTATAGTTAGGGATGCACAATATTATCGGCATGGTATCAGTATCAGCCGATATTAGCGATAAAG